GCCTCCACCAGTAGTCTACAACTGGAGTGGGCGGAGTAACTGTTATCATTTATATAGCACATTTAATTGCAACGTTGTTGCACAGTTACATTAAACCATACATTTATAAAAACATTAGCAGGTGTTCAAAAGGCCCTGTCTATGACATCACTTGCTGCTGCAGCTTGACACAGGTCAGAGTATTTTGGCGGTTGCCATCTTCAAACGGTTGTATCTTAAAAACTATACTTCCTACAGCGAAGAGCTTTATATTGTGAGAATCACAAGACCCAGACCTACATTTCGATGCATAGTATGTCTCTGAAGTATTAAAATTGAAGGCACAGTCGCAGTTTAGAAATTGCACTTCAAATTTGAGCTTTGCAGAGTGAAGTTTCAATGAATGTCAATGGACGGCGCTGGTTGCAAACAAATGGTCATATTGTGAAAACTATCAGGACTACGGCTTAGCCGTTTACATGTTTAGTGGCAGCAGGGATAGCTGAACGTTTTGATATAAGATTTGCGTAGGTGGGCTTGAAAATAAGGGAGTGGTGGCAGTTTAGAAATCATGTCCCGATTTTTCAGCATTTGCCAGCTCCCACTCTAGCTCTGCCATTCATTCCTATGGGACAAATTTCGCCACAAGAACGACGATATTCCGTGAACCATTCGGCGAAACGTTCCACAAAGTAATAGCAATCCGATCGGGAACAATCTGCACGTTTTGGTAAATTTTGGTCTAGTGTAAAAACTGTGGGAGAGTTAGGGTGGCAGATTTTGCTATAATAAGAATAATAATAATAACTAGAAAAGCTACAATTTCTGGGGAAATTGTGTGAAGTGTTCTTGCCTCCACCAGTAGTCTAGCACATTCAATTGCAACGTTGTTGCACAGTTACATTAAACCATACATTTATAAAAACATTAGCAGGTGTTCAAAAGGCCCTGTCTATGACATCACTTGCTGCCGCAGCTTGACACAGGTCAGAGTATTTTGGCGGTTGCCATCTTCAAACGGTCGTATCTTAAAAACTATAACTCCTACAGTGAAGAGCTTTATATTGTGAGAATCACAAGACCCAGACCTACATTTTGATGCATAGTATGTCTCTGAAGTATTAAAATTGCACATCGCAGCTTAGAAATTGCACTCATTGCGTCCCCGTCTTTTCCGCCTATTGCCGTCTTAAGGTGAGCGTTGTGCTGGGATGCCTTGACGGCTGTTTACCGGTGGTCATTGTGGAGTGTTGGTTTGCATGCGCCCAGTTGCTTTGCCGTGTATTGTGGGCGTCTGGGGACTGCATGTTCTCTTGCTGGTTTTGATGCACGCGGCGTCCGCCATCTTAAGTACAGTGCCACGGATCAGGCTGCTGATGCTGCTGGGTCCAAACTGGCTTGCCGCTTTCGGGGTCCTAGCCTGTCCGGTCCTCCGGCCGGGCACTGTCAGGCAGGATACCGGGGCAGTGGCCGTCCGCCCCGCTCACTGCCGAAGAAGGCCACATCTGGAGCGGCAGTTTCTCCCCCAGGGGACTGCAACTCTGGGAGTCAGTCTCCCTGGGTCCAGTGGTCTCAGCACACGGAGGACCGGTCCTGTCGGTCTGCTGTCCCAGGGTAAATCATGCTTTAAGGGCTTATAGAGTGGGAAAGTGCAGGAGCTGAGGTTGCTTGCGACCATCCGGCTCGGCAGTCCGGCCCCGCCCCCCGACTTGTACATTAATTTTTAGCCGAATGGCAATCCATTTAAATTTAGGCCAACTGGCATGTCGTGCGAATTTCATAATTCCAATGCTCCATATAGATATATAACAGAACAAACAACTTGCACGATGCGCACGTTCCTATGATTCAAATTTTTAGCCATGGCACTAAATAATCAGATGATTAATGGAAAATAAATGATGATTGATGGTTGGCGCATAGCCACTAAATATTCATTATATTCACAGATTAAGTGAGAAGTGACCAATAAAGAGAAGAAGAAAAAAATCAGAAGTAAAAAAAAAATCAATATCTATTTTAAAAAACATATCATATATAAACATAGATCTGTTGGTTAATTTTTCTCCATCTCTTGGTTAATTTTTCTCCATCTGTTGGAATTTTCCCACGCTGTGTAATTTGACTCATAACTCTCTGATTGGTTACTTAATCCAAGAATCAGAGTGTTATGAGTCAAATTACACAGTGTGGGAAAATTCCAAAGAACTTTCCCACGCTGTGTAAAATGACACAGAGCACGCTGATTGGTGGATTTCAAGCCAACCAATCAGAGTGCTGTGACAGGTAAATGTAGAGACTTATAAGCCTTCCCCCACCCTGCAGAGCTCAGTCTGCGCGGAGCCCTCGCCGAATGAAGATGGATTTTTTTTTTTTGCGCTTTTTTTTTTTGTTTTGTTTTTTTTTTTAATTGTGTCGGTTATTATGGGTTTTTATTTGGCCTTTTTTGGGGCTGAAAAAAGAAGATTTTTTTGGGGACCCCTACTCAACTGGAGGGGGGTAACATTTTTCGCCCCCCTTATTAGTATTTAGGGCCCCCACTAACCGTTCAGGGGTGGGGGCCAGGGGGAGGACATTAGGTCCCCTCTCTTATTAGTATTTAGGGCCCCCACCTGCTGCTCAGGGGTGGGGGCCAGGGTCCCTCCTTATTAGTATTTAGAGCCCCTACCCGCCGCTCAGGGGTGGGGGCCAGATGGGAGGATATTAGGTGTCCCCCCTTATTCCAGTTTAGGGCCCCCACCTGCTGCTCAGGGGTGGGGGCCAGGGTCCCCCCTTATTAGTATTTAGAGCCCTTACCCGCCGCTCAGGGGTGGGGGCCAGGGGGGAGGACATTAGGTCCCCTCCCCTTATTTTACTGTAGGGCCCCCACCCGCCACTTATGGGTGGGGGCCAGGGGGGAGGACATTAGGTCCCCCCCCTTATAAGTATTTAGGGCCCCCACCGCTCAGGGGTGGGGGCCGGGGGGGAGGACAATAGGTCCCCCCCATCATTTTACTTTAGGGCCCCCACCCGCCACTCAGAGGTGGGGCCGGGGGGCAATAGATGTGGGGGCTCGGGAAGAGGGACCCTATTTTTTTTTTTTTTTTACAGTGAGCAGCCAAAAGGGGCAAAATTCATGAGCAGTGGGTGGGGGCCCTAAGTTAGAATTAGGGGGGACCTATTGTCCTCCCCCCCCACCCCTTAGCGGCGGGTGGGGGCCCTAAATATCAATAAGGGGGGACCTATTGTCCTCCCCCTTGTACCCCACTCCTGAGCGGTGGGTGGGGGCCCTAAATATCAATAAGGGGGGGACCTATTGTCCTCCCACCCCTGAGCAGTGGGTGGGGCCCTAAATTAGAATAAGGGGGGACATATTGTCCTCCCCCCCACCCCCATCCCTGAGCGACAGGTGGGGGCCCTAAATATCACTAAAGAGGGGATCTATTGTCCTCCTCCCTGGCCCCCAGCCCTGAGTGGCAGGTGGGGGCCCTAAAGTAAACTAATGGGGGAACCTATTGTCCTCCCCCCGGCCCCCACCCATGAGCGGCGGGTAGGGGCCCTAAGTTAGAATTAGGGGGGCAGGACCTATTGTCCTCCCCCCGGCCCCCACCCCTGAGCGGCGGTTGGGGGCCCTAAATATCAATAAGGGGGGCACCTAGTGTCCTCCCCCCTGGCCCCCACCCCTGAGCAGTGTGTGCCCTAAGTTAGAATAATGGGGGGAGGCCGATTGTCCTCCCCCCTGGACCCCAGCCCTGAGCGGCGGGTGGGGGACGTAAATAAAAATTTAACCCCCTCCAGGTGACTAGGGGTCCCCAATCCCCTAGTCACCCCCCTCACAAAAGAAATAACCCCTTCCTACCCCCCTCGTCCTAAAAATAATGAGAGGGACCCTTATCTAAATACCTGTAAAAAAAAAAAAAAAATTATCATTTGATGTCTTCTTTCTTCTAAACTCTTCTTTTTTCAGCCCCAAAAAAGGCCAAATAAAAATCCATAATAACCGACGCACTTTAAAAAAAAATATGAGCACAAAAAAAATAATCCATCTTCATCCATGGAGGGCTCCGCGCAGACTGAGCTATGCTGGGCTCCGCGCAGACTGAGCATATAAAGCCTTGCCCTGCCCTGCAATTAGGCTCAGAGCACTCTGATTGGTGGGTTTAAGCCATTCAATCAGAGTGCTCTGACAGGTAAATGAAGAGACTGACAGGTAAGTCTCTACATTTACCTGTCACAGCACTCTGATTGGTTGGCTTGAAATCCACCAATCAGAGTGCTCTATGTCATTTTACACAGTGTAGGAAAGTTCTTTGGAAATTTCCCACGCTGTGTAATTTGACTCATAACTCTCTGATTGGTGGATTGAAAGTAACCAATCAGAGTTTTGTTATGAGTCAAATTACACAGCATGGGAAAATTCCAAAGAACTTTCCCACGCTGTGTAAAATGACACAGAGCACTCTGATTGGTGGATTTCAAGCTGAGCTGAGCAAGGGGACAGAGGCTGAACAAGGGGACAAGGGTTGAGGAGGGGGAACAGGGGCTCACTAAGGAAACAGGGCTAAGGGAACAGGGCTGAGGAGGGGGAACAGGGAAAAAAAATCCCTAATTCCTTGGCCCATATCGTATACCGCACCATAAATCCAATTTCAGGGTTTCCCAAATCCCTGCGGGCATTAATAGTACCCAAACAATCACCAACGGGATGCTTAGTTAACATGAAATTATTTTATGGCATTTTGAAGTAATAAAACAATTCAAATGAAATCTTGGTTTTATAACCATAAAGATGTGAAATTCACTCTACTTGTAAATATTGTAAGATTCCATGAGAATCTCAACTCCTCCTGTAATTGTCAGCTTTTGTTTGTCTCAGATGTATTGTGCCTCTGTCTTTTTACAGGAAGCAATTGTGCACATGAAGTGCACTGCAGAATATGTTGACACTTTACAAATAATGTATAATAATATAATTCTACATTGATAGCTAATAAGTGAGGTTTTGTATTTCAAAGTTGGCTGAATCAGTGAAGGCAGCGCTGATGGAATATTTCCCAGACCGCACTGGGGTTGAAATCATTGCTGAACTTGGGAGATACTATGCTGAATCTGCATTTTTATCTGCTGCGAACATCATTTGCAAAAAAGAAGTGGTTCAAGAAGGTATATTTTTCTTAATTTAGAACATAATAATACAAAAGGGGAAGATTTATCATTATGCCATAAAATGTTGCAAAGCTGAAAAAAACTTAATTAACCAACAATAACATATATCTGCTTATTTTACTTGTTTCTTCGGTGATTGTTTCATATTTAGTACTTTGCCCCTTTGTAACAAATCAATATTTACAATATTTACATAATACTTTAAACCGTGAAATAATGAATATGGTCAATAAAACCATTACAGAACTTCTAGCACCTATTAAAGTCTATGGTGTGTAGATTTGACTGCTGGAAAGGTCAGCTTATCCTACAGAGATCACTAAAATACCAGAAATATAACTATCTAAATATGTAAACAAACAAAAACACGTTTATAGAGTACAATGTAAAATAGAACCTACTTATCAGTCTGCAGCATTGTAGACAGTGCTCTATGATTAAAACAAGATTAGTATAAATTTTATATGCAAAGTGTTTAATCTACTGCACCTCATCACGGTCTTCATATATAATGCTTAACTGCAATTAGATTACTCTTGAGGCCAGCTTTTTTGTCTACTTATTTACTTCATCTCTGATTTCTCTCCACAGGACCTGTGGGGAGAGCCTGTAAAAAACTTATGTATTATTTAAATGATGGGGTGTTTGGATCCCATAATAATACCCTATTTAAGAAGGAACCTGTATGGCCTTGTCCAGTTAAAGTAAGTACTCATGCTATTTCTGACAAATTTGTTCCTCTCAGGGATCCATTGATGGAAAATTACATTCTAAAATGTGCTGGGTGCAGTTAGCTTAAAGGAACACACAAACAAGTATTCCTGATGCTATAGTGTTAAAACCACCAACTAGCCCTCCTGGTCCTCCCTTACCTCCCTAAATATATTAAAATCTTACATTTGTTCAAGTCTGCAGCTGCTAGCTCTGCCCCTGATCAACCTGCTTGGCTGACATCAGTTGTGTTGTTCTCAGCCAATTATAATGCTTTCCCATAGGATTGGATAGCGTGCTGTGTGGAGAAGTTTCTGCAGCGCAAGGCAAGACATTTATATTGCATCAGCTGCTCTGAGATCTGTTTATTTCACTTGCACACTACATATATCTGTGTATATCTTACCTGTATATGGCGCATGTCTGTGTCACTGTACTGGGTGAGCACGTGCAAATGGGACGTGCTATAGACCCCTCCCCCTTTTTATACCATAATGCTAAGATACACTTATGGGTATCATTTTTAAGAGGTGAGCCCTCTTCATGTTATATCATTTTGCGGACATTTTTAATGTATTTTTCTGCTAGCCTCTGCCCTGGATGAGCCTCCTATTTTGCTGACTAAACAGTTTAGATCAGTTCCCATATTTTAACCAGTTATTCATCCTCTATATATGAAATATATACATTATTGGTTAGTATTAAACTAAGGGGTTAGCCACCATTGCCTGCATAGTGTACTGCCCCTTTTTATACACAGGCTTGTGGTTTGTTTGGTGAACTCTATGCAATCCAAGCAAGTTACTACACCAGATCCTTAATGCCTCCCTCCACATTGCTCTGAAAACTAGGATTAGCCCCAAACACTCGCCATTGTGGACAAATGGCAGGCTAGTTATCCTGAAAATGTACAGGTTCACAGTGCAGCATACACAGTATACTAACAGCTATTTCATATAGACATTAACCCCTTAAGGACACAACATGTGTGACATGATTCCCTTTTATTCCAGAAGTTTGGTCCTTAAGGGGTTAAAGACATTTTCGGCCAAACATCCCCAACAAGTGGATTGTGCATGACCTTGGTGCTTAGCATATCATAGGAAACATGAAATATAATAAAAATAAAGAGAAATAGAAAACAATATATAAAGAAAAATGGTTTAACACCACCAGAAATCTTTGCTTATCAAATCTACTTGTCCCTCTAAAACCCCCTTATTGGTCCGCAGATATGCTTTAGTATTACTCGTTATATTTCTGCCAGATGTCCCAAACTTTATGGAAAGTAGTAACAGTATTTCAGACCTTTGCTGTCAATTTATCCATTAAATAGTTGTATTGTTTTTGAAGAAATTCAAAGGTATCTCAGGGCTCGCCCACTTCTGCGCTAATGCTCTATTAGCAGCTAGGTAAATCATGTTTAAACGTTTCTGTTCAGGTTTGGTCAAATCCTCTGTGGGTTTAGAGTGAAGGCAGGCCTATGTATCTAGGTTCATTCTCCTTTTTAGAATCTGATAGCTTAAGTCTACCACTTTATGCCATTATTCTGTTATTTTCGGACAAGACCACCACATGTGAATATAGGAGCCCTTTCATATGGTATGTTTTACAGGGGTTGTATAACATCTAAATAATGTTTTATAAGATTGTTCTTGGAGAGTCATCACACAAATGGAAACCCTAGCACTGCCTTTTCATATGCCCTGCCAAAATGATGCATGAATGGACTCATAACATTCAGGAATGGCCCCAACGCTGCTTTTGCTAAGTGGGAAACACCAATATTGCCATTGCCCTTGCTTCAGAAAGGCGCTAAGCGGCCTTGCTGTGTATGGACAGCAAGCTGGCTGACCTTGGCTTGAAAGAACTAGGACTGCAAGTTCAAGGCCAACTGTTCAACAAAGCATTCAGTAAGGAGCTTTAGAAGCACATGAATATCTTCTCTTCACTGAATAAAGCCCAAACTCAGATGAGGAAGGTTTTCAAGACAACCACACCAAAAACAGGCTATTTGGTCAGCTATAGACTGTGGAGGTTTACACTGTGGAGGTTTCCTCAGCAATCTCTTCTTATTCAAGAAGGAAACAGTGGTCTTCAGGCCTGTGATAAACTTGAGGAACCTAAATGCATATGTAGTGAACCGGCATTTCAAGATGGAGAATGTAGATTTTCTAAGGAACATGCTGCAGGAGGGAGATTGATTTACAGGTCTCGACATAAAAGTGTCACATATTTATCCGCTTATAGAAATGTGGTTAATGACATTTACTGTCCACACAGGAAAAGTTGTGCCGAGCAGCAACCTAATCCACAGAAGGGTTAATGCTGAGCAGTAATTGTGCAAATGAAACCTGGTGTCATGTATTCATCCGCTTAGAGAAAAGTGATTAATGACATTTACTGTCCACACAGGAAAAGTTGTGCCAAGCAGCAACCTAACCCACAGAAGGGTTAATGCTGAGCAGCAATTATGCAAATGAAACCTGGTAACTGACTTTGGGGTCAAAGGCCGGTTACAGCCTATCAGAACTAAAGGAGGGGTATTTAGGCCCAGTTCTCAGCCTGCTCAGTGCCCTGTCGTGGTTTCCCTTGTGGTTGTCTGAGAGCGCGTTCCTGTTTATAGTTTTCTACCTGGTTTTGACTTTGGCTTTGTTTATTGACTTCTCTATATTCTGGTATCCTGACTCCTGGCTTTCCTCATCGCTGTGTCCCTTTCTGTGTTCCCTGACCTCGGCTAGTATTTTTGACTATTCTTTGTACGTTAAATCCGGCCATTCTAAGGACCGGTAATACGTTACTTATTTGTCATCCGTGCTGTACAGTTCTACGTGCTGGATCAAACAGTAATCCTGACAAAAAGGACATGTATTTCTCAGTACCCGTCCATCCCTCCTACCAATGCTTTCAATTCTGCTGGTGAAAGACTCCATGGCAGTTCATTTGCCTTCCTTTTGGCTTTAATTCAGCGCCATGGTGCTTAACAAAATTTCTGAAGCCTGTGGTGGCTCATTTCTGAAGCCTGTGGTGGCTCATCATTGTATCATGAATTTGGACGATGTTTTGATCTTTTGTTCCGAGGCTACATCATCAAACTTCCTTTATTGTGAATTTTCTCGTGTCTCAAGTATTTGTCATGAATCCATTGGAGCTTTCTAAGGTTTTCACCTACCGTGTATATACTCGTGTATAAGTCGATCTCATGTATAAGTCGAGGGCAGTTTTGTGACCAACAATTGTGAAATATGCTATGCCTCATGGATAAGTCGAGGGTAAAACTTGGGGCTATGAAATTCTGTGATTTTTAGAATTATATACACACACACACTCATACAAACACACACTCTGCATTATACACACACACACTCATACAAACAATCTGCATTCTACACACACACACACACATACAAACACACACACACTCTGCATTATATACGCACACACTCTGTGTGTATATAATGCAGAGTGTGCGTGTGTTTGTATGAGTGTGTGTAGAATGCAGACTGTTTGTATGAGTGTGTGTGTGTGTGTGTGTGTGTGTACTGGGTGGGAGGAGGTCATTTTTAGTATAAATTTTTTATTTTAATATTTTAAGTTTATTTTATTTTAAATTTTAAGTTTTTTATTGTATTTTTTTTATTATTTAATTTAATTTTTGTCCCCCCTGCTTGTTAGCTTGCCAGGGAGGGGGGTTCTCACTCCCTGGTGGTCCAGTGTATGGGCTGTGTAGGAGGGGGGGCTGACAGTGAGCGGTTACTTACCTTCCTGCAGCTCCTGTCAGCTCCCTTCTCCTCCGTGCAGCTCCTCTGTCAGCTCCCACTCTTTAAGTCTCGCAAGAGCCGCGGTGACCCCGCGGCTCTCGCGAGACTTACAGTGGGAGCTGACAGAGGAGCTGCACGGGGGAGAAGGGAGCGGACAGGAGCTGCAGGAAGGTAAGTAACTGCTCACTGTCAGCCCCCAACAGGACCGCCGGGCTGGTCTGTATTATGGCAATGTAAATTGCCATAATACAGACATTAACTCGAGTATATGTCGAGTGGGGGTTTTTCAGCACAAAAAATGTGCCGAAAAACCCGACTTATACTCGAGTATATACGGTACTTCTATTGGGACATCCTTCTATCTTATTCAGACATCAGTGACCTGTTTTCCAACACTCCTTGGGATCCGGAACCTGTGTGAGGTGGATAGACTAAGACTAAGAACATCTTGGAGTCCCATTTTGGAGATCTATTTGACCTATCTACATGCCCTTCTGGCCACTTTTAGTGGCAGAGTGTTTGTAATTGCAATAATTACCTTATTTTATATCGTTATATTGTAAGGTTTTACACTATGCTGTGTTTTTATGTTTATTAAAGTGATTAAAGCTGGAATTTCTGTTCCCAACTGGGATTATAATTATACCAGTACATTCCAGGGGACCAATTACTAGTGTATATATACCGTTTAGTTCAGTCTTTCCCAAACTCCGGCCCTCCAGATGTTTCTGAACTACAACTCCCATGATTCTCAGCCCATCTGTTTCATTCATAGAATCGTGGGAGTTAAAGTTCAGCAACATCTGGAGGTCTGGAGTTTGAGGAAGCATGATTTAGTTGGTTACTGTGGCAAACCTAGCCACTTGTGAAAACATGGAATATATGTAGAAAAAGGTTGCATGTATTATTCTTATGACTTCTTGTATTCCCTGGCTGTACCCTGTGTATTATTGTATGTTACATTGAATTCGTGTGCTAGCTGCTGAAAGCGGCTAGCATTCAAGTGTATCGTTTCACGAACAGCACCATAGCGGGCTGTTCGTGAACCAAATGAGCCATCTCTTAATAGCCCACACAGAGAGGGACGTGTGGCGCTCGTTAACCGATTGCAACAATGTTGCAATCGGTAATTAGAGGCTTTCTTAGGTGGCCGTCGTTCTTGGACCCTTTGTCTCCCCAGCGGTGTTTGGTCGTCGAGCGAGTGGTACTGAAAACGGCTACTCGACGCCGCGAACACTGCTGGGCTTCCAGGCCGTTCGGGAGCTCCGGTCTTTTCGCCATTAGGGTTCCCCATCGGTGTTCGGTACTTTGGGTCGAACTCTATGGAAAAAGTGTATTTCGTGCAGCGTTCGGTTGTTTTAGCTGGGATCTGAGCGGTATTCTCACGAACTGTGCACTCAGACCCCAGCTATCTACCGAACGTCCATTCGTTTAAATCTGTCAAGAATTCGAAAAGTTATGTATTTTAATATAAATTGTCGGTTCTGCTGCACGGAGGGATAATCCACTTAACGGTATATTCCAATGGGAGTATCCCTCTCGTGCAGCAATGCCTGATGGGAGAAAAGGTCTGAATGTTAAGTCCCCCGTGTAGTCCCCTACTGTATTACCCCTGCTATGAGAGTATGGAAACCCCTTGCATGGGGACTTGCATAAATACTGGATGCTGTGAATAAAAACGTCAGTTGACTCCCAGAACTGTGTTTCGTCTAGTTACTGGGGGATTTGGGACATTGCCTTATTTTTCAGCGCTTGACTGTGGATTACCTTCTTTACCAGCGGAGTTCGTGGGATTTAATATTGCCGCTCCGCTACAGTTACTCTAACACGTTTGTATAGCACACCACACCAATTTTGTCTGTTTTGTTATCTTAAGCAGAGCCTACATAAATGCATTGCAATAAAAACAGAGAATAAGAAAACTCTGAAAACTTGTGCCCATTATTTCTTAGAAATGGTATGTTTCTTTCCAACCCAGTTTTGTGAATGGGGAGACACTGATTGGCCAATCAGCGGTGCCCCTGTCTGGCGGGAATTCACGCTTCCTGTAAGTGAAATTTCAGAATCCGGATGCTGATTGGGGTAGATTGAAGCAGCTTTGGGGTAAAACCGTTCGTGAACGGTTTAACCCCTTGAGGTTAGTCTACGATGGGGGTCTCCTGGCACCATAGCAACGTAATTTAGATGGAATTGTTATGGTGCCTGGAGTGTGCTTTTAAAAGGACTACTGATGCAACTGCTCCCCATGTTTTATTAATACAAAGATGCAATAAAAAAAAAAATCAATCATCATAAAATAAAGTTTTTTTTGTGTATTTTAAAAGAGATATAATTATTATTATTATGATTATTATGTTTGGCATTTATATAGCATCAACATATTCTGCAGCGCTTTACAATATTATAAAAGGGGGACATTTAACATTTTGTATTTGTCTCATTTATTGTTAAAGAAACCATTGGTTGATGAGGGCACTGCTCAAAAGATCAAGTAAACATTGCATTGCAAAAATGAATGATACTATGTAGACACTGGCGTACATACCGCAGTTGCAGGGGTTGCAGCTGAGATCTGGCCCGTCACTCCAGGGGGCCCGGCCGCCCTGGAGACCCCTGCAACCAGGTGCCCGCCATCATCATTTGCGGCCCCGGCCCGCGCGGCAAACCACTGGGGACGCGTGTTAAGGTGCCCATCGGGTGGCCCATGATGTCAGGGCCACCCCATGGAGATGGATTGTCAGGGGGCCCGGTCAGCGCTTCGGCGCTTTAACAGCGCAACCTGGCCCCCTGTAATGAGATCATCACACGCTGGGAGGAAGTGACAGCACGTCACTCCTCCCAGCTAACACACAGAGCTCGCGCAGGAGGAAGCAGAGGGAGTCAGAGTGGGAACTCTGACTCTGACCAGCCTGAGCCACCACTGGACCCCAGGGAAAGTCACCCTCCTGCACCTAAAAGGTAGGAAACAGGAGGGTGACTTAAATATTATGTGTGTGTGTGTGTTTGTTTGTTTGTATGTATGTGTCTGTGTTTGTCTGTATATATGTGTGCCTGTCTGTCTGTTTGTATGTATGTCTTGTGTGTGTGTGTCTGTCTGTCTTCCTGTATGTCTTTCTATCTGTCTGTATGCATGTGTCTTTATATGTATGTATGTGTGTCTGTATGTGTCTGTGTCTATCTGTCTGTATGTGTGCCTGTCTGTTTTAATGTATGTGTCTTTGTATGTATGTGTGTTTTGTGTGTGTGCCTGTCTGTATGTATGTTAGCCTGTCTGTCTGTATGTATGTGTGTCTTGTCTGTATGTGTGCCTCTCTGTATGTATGTCGTATGTCTGTGTCTGTCTGTGTGTGTGTGTGTGAGTGTATGTGTGTGTGTCTGTATGTGTGTCTGTCTGTATGTATGTATGTGTGCCTGTCTGTTTTTATGTATGTATGTGTCTTTGTATGTATGTCTGTGTGTATGTGTGTGTCTGTCTGTTTGTTTGTATGTATGTGTGTCTTGTCTTTATGTATGTGTGCCTGTCTGTTTGTATGTATGTTTGTCGTATGTGTGTTTGTCTGTATGCCTGTCTGTTTTTATGTATGTATGTGTCTTTGTATGTATGTCTGTCTGTCTGTGTGTGTATGTGTCTTTCTGTCTGTTGGTATGTATGTGTGTCTTGTCTGTCTGTATGTGTGCCTGTTTGTATGTATGTGTCTCTGTATGTATGTGTCGTGTGTGTCTCTGTATGTATGTGTGTGTGTGTCTATCAGGGAGGGGGAATAAGAGGGGAAAAGGGAGGGAGGGGGTGCCCCATGGGTTATGTGTAGAACTTCTTTATTCCAAAATGGATATCAGATAACTTACCTGCGTCCCTCCTCCAAGGCCAAGTTCTCCAAGTAGCCTGATCCTACTTCGGGTGAGGACAAGCAGAGGGGTGCTTTGCGCAGCACAGTAGTGGTTGGTTGTTTGTTTATATACACCCTCTGCCTCAGATTTCCCCACAGGAAGTAATCGGAAGCTGAAAGTTCAGGTGAACGTGTCGACCAATTAATCTTAGAATTTCTTGAAATTATCCACTTGCCGAACAGTTGCTTCAGTTTTGAACATAAAATTCCACTATTATTACTCATCGTACTTGTTCCTTCATGAAATCACCCATGAATCTCCAAAGGCCTTAAACAAAAAAAAACTAAAAAATTATTACTTACAAATAAGTTATTTCCCTAGATTTTATTTTGAGCTAACTAAATATGTATGTTTACTTATACTGCTTGTAGTATTTCTCACTCTCTAGGGACATTGGAAAATTCCTTACTTAAAAGACAGCAACATTTTCAAATCACTACATAATAATTATTTTTAGGATGAGACTCTGAATGATGAGTTTTACTTAGCAAGATCAAGGACATAAAGCAATGTGCACAAAGCCTTATACTGAATTGTATTGGTTATTTAGGGCATGTGAATGTTCACTCAGTGACTCCATCTCATTCTTTGTAGGATGTAAACCCAGTTCAACCCCACTATCCTAGCACTCTTTGGGGACCAAGTTGTGCAGCTACTGATGAGATATTACATGAAGTGGATCTTCCAGAACTGAACGAGGGGGAATATATCATGTTCCAAAATATGGGAGCCTATAGCATTTCAATGAGCACTGAATTCAATGGGTTTCCTCGTTTATCTGTGTACCATGTTCTAAGCGCAGAAATATGGCAGTTGCTGGAAAGAAAAAAGAAGATGGCAAATCCTCCTATTGAATACTTCCTTAGTCAAAATTAGCATGTATTTGATGAAGCTGCTGTGTTAATGTGTTAGCTGTTTATTGAGAACTTATCTGTAGAAAGAAGCATTACACATATTTTTCATGTATTGATTCATTTAGCCATGTGACAGATTAAACTAGTGAACATTCTGTGAAAAAGCAGGCTCTTAAATTAATCGTGACAAATTTAAACATACAAAATGAAATAAACTGATGGTAAAACAGCCAAACAAGAGAGTATGATGGACTTCTAAACACTTACAACTAAAAAGAGAGGGAAAACATGTTTGGTATAGATCCCTTTTAACCTGGCTCTAGGTAAGAGGGTGTTTGTGCCTATCAAGGTGGTCACAAGCCCTTCATGGGATGCTGGATCAAATGGGTAGTAGACATGTGCAATTCGTTTTGTTCCGAATGCACATTCACACGAATTCCATGCAATTCGGACATTCGGATTTTTCCGAATGTCTGAAGTGCCAAACTGAAACCGAATTGCTGAAGTTCCGAATTGCCGAAGTCCCGAATTTCCAAAGTGCTTCGGATTTCTGAAAAGTGGCAAAACAAGAGGAAGGGAGGGAAAATTACGTGAATGATGACAGAAATCTTGACCAATAAGCTTATTCCTAGCACTGGAAGCCCTACAGATGTATAAGTGGTTGTGGTGGTTAGGGATAGGGGTAGAGTTTGGGAGCCCTACAGATGTTCCAAATTCCAGAAGTGCCAATTCGAACCGAATGCCATTGGTCCGAATTGCTGAAGTAGCCACATTTTTTTTTAAATACTTGAGTTTCCAAACCAAACCAAATTTTTAACCAATTCAGATCCCAAATGGGTAGTATAGAATGCACTGGACTAAATAATTAAAAGTAATTATATAAACAACAAGTAAAAACAATGAATTCCACTAATATGAAGTCTTCTATGGTGTCCCCCGAAACGCGTTTCACCAGTCCTCAGCTTTTTAAATCAGTTTAGTTCCCTCTGATCATATTCCATCTTTAAATCAGTCTTCATCCTGATTGGCCTTCTCTTCCACTTTTCACAAAGTTGCAGAGGTTCACGATAGTATTCTTACTTTAAAAAAAACCTGTATAGATAAAAAAAAAAAAAAAAAGTATATTCTTGTTTTTACCCCTCAACAGTAAACCCAACGTACACTAGGACATACATAATACAGTTCCATATACTGTATTGCTACAATATTTCATCATTCTATTTTTATTTTGATTTTTTCATTTGTACTTTTATTTTTGCATGATACAAAGTATATAATTTGGAGTAAGTGCCAGCCACTCTTTTCTATAGCAGAAATAGAGGCACTTGCACTGCACATATTGCATATGACATATTCATTTATTTATTCGCTATTTGCCTATCTCCAATTCACTTTATCTGGTTCTATTTTCTTCCTTCATACATTTATCTTGTTTTTACACTTTTATTTGAATTTTCGTTTTTTCCTTAAAGGCACAGTACCCATATTTACATATTCTCTCACACAGATATTGCCATTCTATTTATATCTCCACACATTCTAGCCGTATCTTAGGCCAGCTCCTGGTATTTGTACACATGATTAGTGTCCTCAGGGCCGCCATCAGAAGTTTTGGGGCCCCTGACAAAGCACAAGGTCTGGGCCCGCCCTTCCATCCCGGGCCCGCCCACGCCCTACCTGGTCCGCTGACAATGATGCAGGACTGAATGTGGTGTGTATAGTGGAAGTGAATTAGAATATGTGTAATGGATGTAGTGTTTGTGTGTATTAGATACTGTTTCTACAGTGAATGCAGAGTGTGTGTTTGTGTAGCGGATGCAATGTGTATAGTGAACGCAGCGTGTGTTTGAGTAGTGGTTATAGTGTGTTCAGTGATGTAGTGTGTGTTTGTGTAGTGGATGCAGTGTTTGTATGTACTAGATGAAATGTGTTTAGTGGGTGCAGTGTCTGTAGTGGATGTAGTGCGTGTATTAGACGCAGTGTCTGTGTATAGTGAATGCAGAGTGTTTCAATGTGTGGTTGATGTAGTGTGTGTGTACTGTGAATACAGGATGTTTGTGTAGTGGATGCTGTGTCTACAGTTAACACAGAGTGTATGTTAGTGTAGTGAATGCAGAGTGTGTGTCAGTATAGTGAATCCAGAGTGTATGCATAGTTTAGTGAATGCAGAGTGTGTGTTAGTGTGTAGTGAATGCAGAGTGTGTGTTAGTGTGTAGTGAATGCAGAGTGTCAGTGTAATGAATTTAGTGTGTGTGTTAGTGTAGTGAATGCAAAGTGTGTGTAAATTTGTAGTGAATGCAGAGTGTGTGTTAATGTGTAGTGAATGCAGAATGTGTTAATGTGTAGTGAATGCAGAGAGTGTGTTAGTGTGTAGCGGATGCAGAGTGTTTGTTAGTGTAGTGAATGCAGAGAGTGTGTTAGTGTGTAGCGGATGCAGAGAGTGTGTTAGTGTAGTGAATGCAGAGAGTGTGTTAGTGTATACAGAGTGTATGTTGTATTAGTGTATGCAGTGTGTGTGTTGTGTTAGTGTAGTGAATGCAGAGTGTGTTAATGTGTAGCGAATGCAGAGAGTGGGTTAGTGTGTAGCGGATGCAGAGGTTGCATTAGTGTAGTGAATGCAGAGTGTGTTAATGTGTAGCTAATGCAGAGTGTGTGTCAGTATAGTGGATGCAGTGAGTGTGTTAGTGTGTAGTGTATACAGAGTGTGTTGTGTTAGTGTATGCAGTGTGTGTTGTGTAAATGTGTGATCTGGGGGGGGAGGGGGGAGGGGCATTTTAACATTAATTTTTAATTAAATGTTTCTCCCCCCTCCCTGCTTACCTGTATCCAGGGAGGGGGGAGATTCCATCCGTGGTGGCATGGGGGCCCCCCCGGCTCCCTGTTACCGTCCGCAGAGGGGGCCCAGGCAGCACACAGCTTCTCCTCTTCTAATAACTCTTGCGAGAACCGCAGAGCGTTGCCATGGTAACCGGGTCTCGCGAGAGTTATGAGAAGAAAGAAGAGAAGCTGTGTGCTGCCTGGGCCCCCTCTGCGGACGGTAACAGGGAGCCGGGGGCCCGCGGCTGCACACATAGATAGCGATATTCGCTATCTATGTGTGCAGAAAGGGAAAGTGGGGCCCGGGACTGCCAGAACAGTCCGGGCCCCCCAGGCCCGTGACAACAGTCACGGTTGTCACCCCCTGATGGCGGCCCTGAGTGTCCTCCCAAACTATTTCTTTTATAGGTTTTAGTAAATCCCTATTTATTTCCAGTTTTGAGCGGCCTAGTGCCAATCCTACTCCCTCACTCCTGTGTAATACATTAGGTATACCAGAACTATACATTTTTGGCCACAATAAAAGGCTACCTGTTGCTTATGGCAGTGAAACTGCTGATGGAGCTCTGTATTACTTGCATGTCTTGAACTCAATGTCTCAAATCAGGCTGTAGGAAAGAGAAATATAAGGAACAAAGAGTGCTGCAATAAAGCAGTTACAAAGTATGGGGAAATAAATATTAACATAACAATAATTACAAGGTGTGTAAATGATAACTAAGTGATTCTATGCAGGATAAAATATAAATAATATTCTCCAGAATGCTACCTATTGCATATAGCAGTGGAACCGCCGATGGCAGGTCTTGATCTTGGTGTCTCAAATCAGGCTGTAGGAAAGAGAAATATAAGGATCTAAGAGGCCTGGAATAAAGCATTTACAAAGTCTTGGGGGGTGGGGGGTGGAGGAGGAATATAAATATAACAATAGCTACAAGGTGTGTAAAAGATAATGAATTGATTCTATGCAGGATCAAGTCTAAATATGATTATCCAGAAGGCTACCTGTTGCTTACTGCTGTGGAACAGTTGATGCAGCTCTGTATTACTTGCAGGTCTGGGGCTGGATGTAATATATGTATCAACTATTTATTTACTTAGTCTCTCACCTGTAGCACATGAGTGGACCATTAAGCAGATTGCCTCAGATTCACTTGGTGTCCAATGGAACCCCGGTAATTAAACTATTCAAACCAGCAAATCAATCAGAAACAATTAGGCTCATTAGAAAGTGAACCTTAATTAATCTCTCTACAACTGGCAATATCCCCTTGAAAGACGCACTCTGGGCACCATAACAACTTAATCAAAATGAAGTTACTGTGGTGCCATCAGGGTCCCTTGCACAAGCTCACCTTAAGGAGTTAAACCAATTTTTAACAGTTTAACCTCAAAGTCTGTGTTCCAGTGCCAATTCTCAATGCCTCTCTGCCATCCATTTTTTTTTTTAAATCGGGAAGCCGAAAGGCTGTTGCAGAATCTGATTGTGGCAGACACTCTCAGCCAATCAATGTCTCTCCATTCATAAAACTGGCTTGAAAAAGAAATGTACCTGTTTACTGCACTCAGCCAATTGTGGTGCAACTGCCCGATTCTCAAAGAGTCTTCTGGTTTCACGATTTTGGGAAAACAGAAGGACAGAGAGGCAGGAAGATTCAGCACTGGAACACAGACTTTAGAGAACAGTTTAATTCCTTAAAGGACCACTAAAGTGCCAGGAAAACATACTCGTTTTCCTGGCACTATAGTGCCCTGAGGGTGCCCCCACCCTCAGGGTCCCCCTCCCGCCGGGCTCTGGGTGGGGAGCTCTCCTCCTCCTCTCCGCCTCCTCTCCTCCTCTTCGGCTGAATTCACAATGCTTTCCTATGGACGCTGGCGTCTTCTCACTGTGAAAATCACAGTGAGAAGCGCGGAAGCCCTTTAGCGGCTGTCAATGAGACAGCCACTAGAGGCTGGATTAACCCATTTATAAACATAGCAGTTTCTCTGAAACTGCTATGTTTATAGAAAAAAGGGTTAATCCTAGCTGGACCAGGCACCCAGACCACCTCATTAAGCTGAAGTGGTCTGGGTGCCTATAGTGGTCCTTTAAGGTGAGCCTGTGCCAGGGACCTCCTGGCCCCATAATAAGTTATTAGCAGTAAAAATAGGGAAGTGCTCATGACATTGCATAGAACACTGGTGAGACCTCACTTGGAGTATTGTACGCAGTACTGGAGATCGTATTTCCAGAAGGATATTGATACTTTAGAGAGAGTTCAGAGAA